ACAGTAGCTATACATATGCATAAATAATTTCAGATCAAAATAAGCTCGACCACGCCCTCTTTCCCCGTATTGTTTTCTTTAACAGTCTGAAATACCTGCAAGGGGGAAAAGGAGGCTGAAGCCCCCCCCCCCCCCCGCTACTCTCTTTCCCCCTGTTTTTCCTCTTCCGACGCCACTTGTATGGTAGAACGCTCCTCGACCTCGAGTTGTGTCGGCTTTTGTGCTTTTTGCGAGGCGATTCCTCCGTCCCAGAAAATAAACCTCCAGGACAATTATAAACTTCACCGGATCGGATTACTACCAGCGTGCAAGGAGTGGCGAGGTAGTTTGCCAGGTCGCTTCAAGGTTTTTCTGAGCCTCAACCTCCTGCTCGCCCCTGACCGTTTCGAACTGGATGAGTCTCGTAAAACAGTGTGTTCGTGTAATCACTACTGCGTGATGCAGGTTAAAGACCCCCCCCCGGGGCTGGCGGTCACAATTCTGCACTGGCAAATATTCTAGCACGTCTCATTTAATTGCCTGACCAACTTCGCAGAATCTAGATATCACACCCTTACTTTTCTAAACTTGATTTTGTGAAAACCAGTGAGTCGTGAAAACGTTATTTGAAACTGAAACTGGTGGAAAATCTTGGAAATCGGACTTCGAACTTTGAAAACTTAAATTAAAAAGAAATTCAAAATCTTCAAAGTTTTTTTTTTTTTTTTTTATTTAGCGTTAAAAGAGAATCGAAATCTTCGAACTTTTCGAACTTTATGCAGAAAGAAATTCGAAATCTTCGAATTGTTCGAACTTCATGTCTATAAAAATTCGAAGCGTTCGAAGTTTTCGATTTTTTTTTCCAAAGAATTTCGAAATCTTCGAATTTATCGAACCTGAAGAAAAAAAATATTCGAAATATTCTAATTCGAAATTTTAGAAACCGTGAAAGCTTCGAAATTTTCGAATTCGAAATTCTGCTGTGGTCAAAAGTTGCGAATTTTTCGAATTCGAACCTCGGTCGGTACGAAAATATCGAAATTTTTCGAAATCGAACCTCAGTTCGCTTCGCAAATATCGAAACCTTTCGAAATCGAACCTAGGGTGGTTCGCGACATCCCTAGTCTGAACTCTTTGCCGTGGATTAGTGCGCCTGCATCTCTCCTTCTGACCGAACTACATTGGTCGAGTTAAGAGGGACTAGTCCCCTCTTAATATAGAGGGACACGCGCAAATTTTTCTCTCGGTGTTTCCTACGCAGGAGGACTAAGGAAACGACTTCCTTGGTCTCTCTTATTATGTTGGTGTCCCTCTAGATGTTGCTATTTTATTTTTCCATTTCCCTCTTAAAAAGAACTGTCCCCCTGAAAGCATCGTTGTCCCCTCCAAAAACAGAGGGACAGCGTTTTTTATGAGAGGCCGGTTTTAGAGTGTAGCTTCGGAATGTTGATGCTGCTCCCTGCCCGCGTCCCCGTGTCGGTGCATCGGCATTGGAAGCTCTGCCAGCTCTCCGCGCTCTGCCCTCCTTCACGTGTTTCCTCCGTTTTCCCAGTTTGCCATTTTCTTCGGTACAGAAGGGGCAGAGAATGCAAGGGACTCTGTGCGCCTCCGTGTAGGCTTGCATGCTCTCGGCGCTGCGGCTTTAGTAATAAGTGTGGTCTGCCGCCGATACATTTCGAATAATCCAGTTAAAAATGCGTGCATTTCGGTCGTGACCGCATCGAACTTGAATAAGAGTGATAATTAAAAAAAAGTGATTTCGTTATAACGAGGACTTACTGTACGAATTTTGTTTTTGTACGAATTTTGTTTTGTTACTCATTTTGTTACTGTACGAATTTTGTTTTAATGCTGCCCATAATCTTTGCAGATGAAACTTCCAATATTACCAAACTAATTCATGGTTCCAACTGAGATTGAGAAAAATGAAGAAATGGACAAACACTCGCAGGATCGAAAATTTTCTCTCTAACAGAACACAGTTTGTATCTGCAAACGACTCAGACTCTTTTCCCTGCCCTGTTACTTCGGGTGTGCCGCAAGGTTCCGTCCTCGGCCCCCTTCTTTTCCTCATATACATAAATGACCTCGTTAACAATGTCCAGTCATCCATAAGGTTGTTTGCAGATGATTGTGTCATTTATCGTGTAATCTATTCTGATACTGATAAGTCTTTTCTTCAGACTGACCTTAATTCCGTTACTAACTGGTGTGACGTCTGGAAAATGCGCCTTAATGCCAGTAAATGTAAAGTAATGAGAATTTCACGGAAAGCTGCCTGTACTAACTTTCCTCAATACAGTATAGACCACTTACAACGTAACCGCTTATAGTGCAGGACCGGGTATAACGCGGCTTTTTTAAACCACCGGTTTGCCTCCCATAGATCTCCATGTAATTTGCATACCGCTTAAAATGCAGGAGCGCAAACGGAAATACTGGTTATAGTGCGGTTTCTGAAACAGCCTGCCGACCGCGTCGACCGACGCAGCGAGCACGCTTCCCTGTGCGACACTAGATAACCAAGATAACGGCGCTAGCCGCAAGCGGCACTCGCGGGGCAAGGAGGTTGCTCGAAGAAGCGGGGAGAAGCGGAAGAGAGAAGCTTCAGTTGCCATAGCGACGGAGAGACGCACGCACATGTCGCTCACGTGCGTGCGTTGGAAACAACTGCAACGACAGACGAATCGCAGGTCGAGGAGAAGTGTTCGCGTGCGTTGCGTGCCGGTCGCGAGGCAGCTTCTTGCTTCTATCCGCAAACATGGCGTCGGTTGTGATTGTCGACGTAGACTGCGTGGTGGAAGCTCATCGTTCTGTGTAAAAGCGCTATCCTTGGCTGTGAATTTTCGTTGTGTGTCGCTATGATAACCCAGCACGTACCAGAAGGGAAGATCCACATACTCGTGCGGCGATGTCGTGGCGGCACACTCAAGACGGCAGAAACACCCGTGTCGTCGTGTTTGTTTACTTTGACTACAGTGGTGCTTTCTAAGCATTTGTGTTTTCGAACATCGCCCGAATTTCTTATTTGGAGAATTTCATGCCTGTGCTCAAGTTGAACGTATTACTGGCGCGTACTGTATAAAGGATGCGAATTTTCACGCGTTTTCATCAGCGGAAAAAAGTCATCAGGGTTAGCAATCCTGAACGGTCGCAACGTCCGTCCGCAACCCGCGGCGCCGCTAGAAGGCTGCGCCAGGCAAAAGTGGCTCATTTCTTTCAAAATGTGTGACTCACTTGAGAGAGAAGTGTACTAGTCTGGTGAAATAAAGACTTTCCTCTAACTAAGCTTTATATTTCATCTAATATAAAATAAATTGTTTTACAAAGGTAATGTCTCATGGCATGTCTTTTGGCCTGAAAAATTGATGTTTTGGTTATAGCGCGGTACCGTTTATAGTGCGGATTTTTGCGACTCCTGCGACATACATTATATGCGGTCTACACTGTACAACATTGGTTCTGCTCTCGAACAGGTGACATCATACAAGTACCTAGGTGTCCATATAACATCTGACCTCTCCTGGCAAACTCACATTAATTTTATTGCTAACAACGCTAATCGCATGCTAGGTTACTTACGCCGCAATTTCTCAAGGGCTCCTTCATCATTAAAACTACTACTGTACAAGACCCTCGTTAGATCCAAGCTTGAGTATGTGAGTTCGGTGTGGGACCCAGGCCATGAATTTCTAATTAATCAAATTGAATCCGTACAAAATCGTGGCACACGTTCTATTTTGTCTAATTTCTCGCGTTTTTCCAGTGTATCATCCATGAAACTAACTTTACATCTTCCGAATCTTTCATTGCGTAGAAAATTATCTCGTTTGTCCTTATTTCACAAACTTTATCATCACAACCAGCATCTAAGTGAAGAGCTTTTTTCTGAACCATCGTATGTATCCCATCGAAATGATCATCACCATAAAGTCAACGTTCCTTTCAGTCGCACGAAGCTCTTTTTTGATTCTTTTATTCCAAGAACTACTAATGACTAAAACCACCTGCCCACCTCCATCGCCACAATCACAGACGCTCCTGCATTCAAGTCTGCCATTGAAAACTATTATGTTGACTAATATGTGTTGAATCCTATTTTTTGTACTTTTGTTTTTCCCCCACTCCCTTCTGTAATGCCGTGTGACTTTGAAGATATTGAAATAAATAAAGAAATAAATAATGAACTATACCTCCTCATTGGTAGTCGGGTTGTAAAGGCAGATGTTACATTAAATGTTACACTAATCTTATTGGGATTGGATGCAAATTACTGAAGAAACTGTCGAAGCAGCATTTCTCCTCGTGTTAGGCGACAATGTGAGAAGCATATTGTAATGAATGAGACTCACGAGGAAGCAGACAGGGACAGCATGCTATTGGAGTGCTTGTGGCAGCCAGTTCAAAGCCAAGGAGCAAGGAAGGTGCGTTTAGTCCTGTAAATGAACGACTCATAAGCAGACGACACTTTGATATTTAGGTGACACCACTCTCCCGTCTTCAGTGAAGAAGCGCTGGCAGATGGCGTTTGAATCTGACCTCGAACCATGACTGAACAGACGTAGAGGGAGCTGCGACAAAGGGTCCCTAAACTGCAGGCTCGCTGGTGCACGCTTTGGTGGTGTGACCGCTGAAGCTGCTTTTTCAGCACACCAGTGAGACGGCGCTGCATGACTAAAATAAATCGGCTCAAGAAACGAAATTGGCAAAGCTGCGCTAATAACCAATTTAGTAATTGGTCGGCGAAAGAAAGATGCTAGCTATAGTGGAATGCAGCAAGAGCCCAACTGGTACGCCGTTGTGATCGGGCCCCGGTTCTGCACGCCCAACACTTCATTTTCTGTGAATAGGCGACACCAGTCAAAACGAGGGGCCTGCTTTCGACTCACCTTACCTGAATATTCTGTCACGGAGTGTCATCACCTAAATGTGTTTGTCACGAGGTACGCACGTCGCGCCGTTTGGGCAATTGCAGACGCATGGGGCTTGCTGACCAGGCCTCTCGGGCATGCTTGTTGCAGATTTACCGGCTGTTGTGCCGGTGCCAAGGCCGGGATCCCCGGCTGGAGTCCACCCGGCGTCTGGCGTCGATCGAGCTGCCTTGCAAGTTCTTCACATACCTGCTCATGGGCCTCACCATGGCCCTGGGTTCCCCGCTGCTCTTCGCACGGCTGGGCATCCAGCGCACTGCCCGGCCGCTCGACCTCTAGGTCCCGTTGCCTGCCGGGTATCGAGTCCGCAGATCGTCGCGGGCTCTGGTCTCTCCGCCTTCGACTGAAATCGCTCCGTGTCGCGTTGATTCGGAGGCACAAAAATGTGCACGAGCGCTTGGTTACGGTGGCCGGTACGCGTCTTCGACGAGTGTGTGCACTGCGTCCTCAAATATGGTCCCTCGACTTATGCGCGTCGACGTTGTAGAGGTGTTGCGCCGTCGTCTGCTGCGATCCTCACGGTGGCAAAGGTGAGCACGGTCACTCTCGGGCACGAGAGTTCACGGAAGATTTGGCAGATGGGAATGGGGACGCGACTGCGGCGGCGACTCTCGCGTTTGCTCCTGCTTTTGGCTGAATTTTTACAGCCGTTTGCCAGGACTGTGGGAGCCAGCTGCGTGGGAGCCGACTGCGTGGGAGCCAGCTGCGTGGCACGCTGGCCCCCACGACCTCGTTTGTGTTTGCTTCGGGACCACTTTTGATGCATGGATGGGATCTGACGGTAAACGCACTGGTTGAAGACGCGTTCCAGGCACCGTACTGTGGTGTACTGGAACTTAGCACTGGCATGCCATAGGGTAATTCGCCTTCTCGAGTTGGCCCGTCTTGGCAACACCTATGCTCCGTTTCACTTTACAACGGACTGCATCAGACGCTACGTGCTGTCGGAGCCAATCCAACGCTGCGAAAGTGTCGCGGGACTTTGCACCCCTCGCATCGCTGAGCCCCTCCCAACGGTCACGCGACATTCGCGTGATGTTGAAGTGGCGTAATGTCCTCCACGATTTGTCGTTAGGGGAAATTGAGTACGGGAGCACAATTTTGCGTCACGACGCACAAGCGACTGTTATTTGCGGCTGCATTGTTGGAGTTGGGAACTCGCCGCAACTGAGAGGCGATTCAGCACCTGTCGTCTCTCGGTTGCTCGAGACGTGGTTGAAACTATGAATTTTAGCTGGCCAGACTTGCCGGGCAGACGTGCGTCTTATTCAGCGAGGTGCAAAGGCATCAGAGGTAAGGTTTCCCCACCTGAAAGCTGCCTTACGGTTTTATAGTCGGATATGGTGAGCGTTGCACCCAAGTTTTTAACACTGATCAGTATCCAGTTAGCTACAGTTGTGAACGGTACATAAGTTTTTCTCTTTAAACCTTTTGACTTTGGACTAATCTGAATGCATTTACTAAAAGCCCAAGAGTAGAAAAAGTGCAGAATTATCTAGCAGTGTCTCGGATGCTGCATCATTGTTACCGGTTCAGAATTGTTCCGAACGATGTTGTGCCTCGCTGGCTCAAGTGGCTGGTGGCTCTTCCTCGCAGAAAGCCCGGTTTTTAAAAGAATGGCCGTCTGTGAGAAACGTGAACTACTGGGACCAACCGAGAGATTATTTACTGCGTCATTGTCGTTCGCTGAGCTCGGCCCTTCTGCTCTGGGCTGGCAGGGAAATGCAGCCCTCTGGGAAGACGCCGGTGTATCATGACTAGTGTTAACGCTCGTGAAATTTCCACTTGGTCATGCGTCTCTCCAGCGGGGGCTGGAAATTGAGGCTTTGAGAAAGCACTTTCCAAGCTGACTTCACTGGTGTCGTACCGAGTGTAAAAAAAAGTCTCCACCGTGCCTTTTTTTTTTTGCTAGAAGTTATTGCCACTTCTGGAGCCATCCACTATACGTCACATGGTAATGGCAAGAGCATTTCCTCGTTGGTGCCATATACGCCTTTTAGAAAGACTGCATATTTATCCAGCTTGCAGGGCTAGTTCGCAAAAGATTGTGGCAAAGAGCCACTTTTATTGTGTTGTATTCAACACCCAAGTTCCTACATTGGGCTAGTCCTCCTTAACTGAAGTTCAAACAAGCTTGGATATGGAGACCTCTTTTATATTTTCCAAATGCTAAATGCTAGAAGGTGCAAAGACTAGGTGCTTGTACGCAGAAAGAAGCGAGGCATCGAGGCGGAAATGCTGTGGCGGAGTATTGTTGCAGAGGACCAGCAACCGTTAGCCTTCCAGCCTCAAACCAGTGTGCTTAACTGTTAAATATAACACTCGAGCATTGGGCAGAGAGGTTGCCTGCATCATCGGTTCCCGCAGTCTGGCATATCGTAACTTTGTCCTTTTCTAGTGTTATCGCACCCAGTATGAACATGATGACTTTATTTGTGGCATAACCAAAATATTAAAAATGACAACGAGGTCATGCGCTCGGAGCAGTGGTTAACACGGGAGAGCACATCGGGTGACTAGAGTGGTCCAAATGTTCTAATTTCATAGGTCAACATTTATTGGTTATGATTAACATTACCATTAACATAAATAGTTTTTGAGATTTCCGCAGGAAAGAATGTTGAGCGATATTTGAGCAAATGTGGTAGTTCTCTGCAGTCGTGAAATTCCGTGCGAAATAAAATGTAACGTGAAAGTAGCTTTCCAAAGCATTGGTAGGCTTCCCAAAGCATTAGTAGTGGTTACATTCATACATTTCTTTTACTGCGGTCCTCTCAAAAACCTGATCAACAAGGTCCTACTACTTTGTTTTATTCACTCGGTGCGTTCAAATAGCAGCCGTACCGTGTGCCTCCTACTGAAGAAATCGTGATCAGCCGCAACTTTTGACCATATTTTCACTGCCAGCAGTTTACATACAGAAGTCCTACAGCAAAGGTTGCAATAACCACTTACAAAATTTTAATACAAACCTGAAAAGATATTGTTCTATCAGGCACAACGGGAAGAGGGTGTTTTTAATAATGTTCTCAGGAACAATCTCCACTAGAGCAAATGCCAATTCCAAGTGTGTGCTTAAACTGTTCTTACTGAAAGTTTCTATTGTGCTCCAAACTTGCATTCGAGATGGCATTCTAGGCGCAACCCAAAAGCGTCTTATTTCTCCCTATTACCCCCTGCAACTAACCTCGATGCTACCTAAATGGCGGAGTGGGAGGAACAATTGCTAGAACGTAGTCCCTCCTGATGAGAATATTGCAATCCTCATGGCTTGGAAAGAGAAAAACAACATATTTTGTCTCGAGAAAAAAAGAAGTAGCACAGGTTGTGCACATCAGCATGCAAAATGCATATGGATGCAGTGCTCAAGTCTAAACATGCTCCCAAAGACCCCGTCTTGCTGCCTTTTGTTCTTTCTTTAGACCTTGAGATATGGCTGGTGCGCAACCCAGCTGAAAGAAGCTATGATTTAACCCAAACGCTCGCCCTGAATGACCAAAGTACTGGCACGATAGATCTAGGATGTTTGCACCTGATTTTACTGGCCGACCACTTTCGGATATATTGCACATTCTCAGCATGATGCTTGTAGTATTTGCTTGTCTGTCTAGAGTGTTGTTGTTTTCCTGAGTTTTTTTTAGCTGCCATAGTTGTGGTTTCTTAGACAATGTTCTAGTTAACTGATTTGCAGAAACTGTCTTGTTTCCCAACAACTTAAATCTGTCCTGAAGCTTTTTTTGTTTTTGTTTTCACATTGGGAGTGAATCAAAACATAATTGTCTGCAAAACTCGGGAAATTTGTCTTCAAGTTATTGTAGCGCAGATTTGACTTAATATCTTTCCGATACTGTAGTCTTTCTAAATACAATCACTTTAAAGATATTTAATAAACTAAATCTTTAAAAAAAGTTATTCTTTTTTAAAAAACATTTTACGCTCATGAAAATGCAGCTCTATAAAAAAAACTTTATATGGTTGGAATTTACCTTTCAAAATTGCAGTATTTTAAAGAGTCATAGCTTAAAATAAATCGGAATGCCAAGAAAGTAGAAATTTTTTATACAAGGAGGGTGCACAAAAAAAAAACCAAAAAACATTTAGAACTTGCGTATCAGACAGCGAGTTTGAAGTCCCCTCACACTTAGAAGTGCTGCTCTTTCATCATATTGTCAGAACTGTTGTGCGTATTTAGAGCATGGTGTGTAACTAAATTCCCACATTTGTACAGGTCTTTCTCTAACCTTAGGACAGCTTCAGTTTGGTTGCAGTGTCGGGCAATTCTCGAATTTTGAATGTACCGCCCGTGTAACCCGAAATTATGTTTTCCGTGTGTGTTCTTGGGACCAAAGCAGCTGGATTGCTACAAATGGCAGGCTGCCTCCCAGCATTCATGCCACGAGAGCCTCTTGTCTGATGGGCCAAACCTTCTACTTAAGCTATTTTTAGCAATGCCTCGCCAGCGGGTATATTTTCTTTCCAAGAAAACTCTCCTTATGTTGTATTGTTGAGAAGCTAGATGACCATGCCATTGCTTTTTGAAGTGGTACTGTGTAATACCAATATAGTTGAACTAGTAGACATATGAGCTTAGATTTTTGGCAAGTTTTCGCCATTGCTTCTCTCTTACACCAGGCACTTTTTGCAGCAAAGTTGCTTCATGTTTGTTGTTTTTAGTTTTTCCTACAAGATGATAGATGCTATGTTGCTTGTGAGCATATAAGCAAATCTATTGTTTTTTCTCGAACTACTTGTTCTGAACTAATGGTGTCCGCATTCTCTTGTGCTTTACAAATGCTTGCAACAAGCACTGTGACAATGTCCCTTCCATGCTTAACAAGGTCAAGCTTGCATTCTCAAGGTTTTGACCCTTTGCAACTATATTTTTATGCGTCCAAGAGCACTAAACTAGCCAAATACATTGTATTCCAGTGGCACAGGTGTACCAAGTTTGTTGTGCTAATCACTTGGAAGACAGCCCAGATGTTGTTGGAGTCATGGTCAAGTGGAGAGGGAAGGTGGATTTTAATTAGGAAAAAGGGAGGTGCAACTACATTCCGAGCACACTACATGTGCACCGAAATGCAGAATGAAAGTGATGGACACAAAAAAGGCATGTGCCACTTGCCCCGAATGTGAACTAGTGTACATGCCTGTAGTGGAAGACCAGAACAGGCCAAATGGTATGCTAGAACTGGGGGAGCATTTGTGAGCCTAATATTCCTTTCTGTTACCAGGTGCCTTTGATGTCTGCTGATGACTTTTTCCATATAAATATTTGAATAGCATTGTTGCACTGTTTCTTGCACCACCACTATGTAGAGTTCTATCTACCCGTGAGGTTTGCAGAATAAAATCAAAGTAACGTTGTCTGCATCAGCATTTAACATTAGTGCCTGGCTTGTAAAGTCAGGATGTTTTTCTTTTTGTTTTTTAACACATTTGTAGTTTATGCACAATATGTTGTACTGTCATTGGTTGCCAGTGCAACTTATACAGATGTTTTATGTAAACAGATGTTGTATACTTTATACCATAATCAATGCCATCTCTGACATGCTTGGGGAGTGACTTTTGTACCCTGCAGCATTAGTCAATGCATGTTACAGGTATCGGAGAGACCTAGCAGTTAATTTTTTCAGAATGTCAAAAGTGCAATCCACGTATTTAGGATGCTAGTTCGGATATTTTGGAGATATATACATCAATTAAATGTTTGTTCTGCCACTTACTTCCTTGTCCTGCTTTGTTTCAAACAAGCCGTGAAAGCGGCAAAAAGGGCACCAACTTGGACTCGTAGATGCCAAGCAAAATGGCATCAAAACTTTCCAGCTGGCAAGCTTGCAAATAGGTTGCACAATGAAGTAGAAGCAAAATATCTACTTCATTTTAATCTACAGGGTGCCAAAGAAATGTATCGCAAGTTGCCCTGTAATTGTGTTGGTGCGTGAAACATTTGTTTAGCGCTAGTAACCTCCAGGCATTTCCTCTCAAGCTCTACCTCCAGGACTCGCGACTCGTCTCCACTCCATTGCCCGCTAGATTTAGCTGGTAAAATGACGTCGCATGGCCTAATGTCGCATGACCTACGCACAAATTCAATTTTTCCGCTAAATATAGCTAAGAAATTTGCGGGTAACCCACCCTAAAAATGTTTCACGTTAAAAAAATTACAAGGTTCACCTGAAAATTGAACACTGCATTTCCAAATGCTCAGCATTTTATAGTGCTAGCGGTCTATCAGACTCCAAAGTTTCAGAGTTTGCGGTAATCTGATTTTCGGAAATTTTAAATGAGAAAATACGTGCTTGTCCTGCCAAGTTGCGACGTCGCCCTATTCGAAAGCGCGGGGAAATTTGAATGCTAGTTTTGGGTATCACCTTAATTTGCATTTTTCTCAATAGCTACCTGAATTTAGGACGGTGGTTTCATTTGAATTTGACGAAACCAATTTTACAGGAAAACAAAATCAGAAGTTTCACTGTTGTCTACAAACTTGGTTTTACTCAATTTGCTAATATTTCGAGGTGTGCAGATAATGCAATTTCAGCTCAAATCGAATATCGGGTACCGAAAAATTGTATTCCCGATGTTCACGAGACAAGAACTGTCCGAGCGCATTTACGCTATTGCGTTTCGCAGAGACAGCAGCTCGACGTTCGCGTAACTCGCTATCATTGTGGCGTCGTTTCTATGCCGCCTCCTGGACACGATTATGAGAACGCTATTTTCGTTTCCGCTCTCGATTCCGATCCCGTGGAAACCAAGTGGAACCCAGGGTGAGGGAAAGGAAAGCTGGGAAGGAGAAAACATCCCCCTCTCCCCAGCTTTCCTTTCCCTCGCCCTGGGCTCTTGACCCATACCTGCCAACTCTTCCGAATTTTTCGTAAAATGTACGAATTGGAACTAATTTTACGATTTTACGAATCTTGCTTCAAATCTTACGAAATATATATATATATATATTTTTTTTTTTTTTATTTGTTTTCTTGTTGCTTTTGTAACTCCGTTGTTGGCGGTATCTTGCACCGCCACAAGAGAGCGATAGGTACCGTCCACAGCAGCGTCGTGGTTTTTACCATCCGTCTATCCGGTGGCCACGGATCAAAAAGCAATCCAAAGCTCAAAGCCTTTGTTCGTGTGTTCGGTGGTGCACACGTGCACGTTGGTTCGGCGTGTTCAGACGTTGTTGGGCCTCGTTGCTTCGGCCAGTTTGAGGCGAGAAGTACGGCGTCTGTGTTTGTTGCACGTGTAACTGTAGCATTCTCCTGGTCACTGTGGCTTCGCGACGCAATGCCGAACTCGAAACCTCAAAAGAGGTACTTCAGGTGTTCCTGAAGCCCTACACGTCGAAATTTTCGTGCTTCGTGCCGCCCAAAAAGCGAGAGAAGTTTGGATTGTGTAGCACGTGCACGTGTGATGTAAGCGTTTCGCACGCTGGCCAGGCTGACATTAAGCTGCATATCGCTTCGCGTAACCCCCCCCCCCCCCCCCCCCCCCCCACTGCAGCCGCGACTTTTACGAATTTGAAAGTCCACAGGTTGGCAGGTATGTCTTGACCTGTTACCGACTACAGAAGACTAACCAGCCTGCGCCTCCCCCAGATGCTATCCTCGCAGCGACGACATAGCAATTGCCTGTGAAGCGACTGTTCACAGGCCATTGTTGGTACGCGCAGCTGACTCGTGAGGTAGCTTAGCTCACAACATTAATTCACCAGATCATGGAATGGATCAAGATGTATACCAAACAATAGCACAGTGTGCGTATGACGTCACAACTGGGCGCAATGAACCTCCCTTCGCGATTACTTCAGTTATTCCTAAAGTCACTGGATCCTGGGAAAGTAGTGCCACTGCAAGCCATATATAAGGCCCTTCTGGCAGCTTCTAAGGGGTCTGTTTATTGCTCACATCACTTTTTAATGCGAAAGCATTAACTGTTTCATGGAGTGAGCTGACGTCATCAGTTTGAAGCGCGAAAACGGCTCTTAGTTTGCGCCGCGATCCCAATAGGAGCGATTCGCCTTCGGTTCCATTGGCTGGCGCGCGTCGACGGAGCTTCCATTGGCGACTGCGCCATGGCCTCCGAGATCCCGAAGCGGGCGCGCGCTAGTACGCAGCAGACGACAAAGGAAGCGGACGAGCGGCTTGCATGCTTTCGCATTCACAGCTCATAAGAAATGCTTAGGTGTACCTCGAGTTTTTTTGTCTGATTCCACTCAAGCCATCAGGCAATTGAAATAGTAAATAGGCCCTGACCATCTTTCAGTAAATTCACACATTACGAAACCACTTCGCTGGCATGGTTGTCATCGACTGGGTGCAGGGCCACGGCTCTGCACTGGGCAACATGGCCGCTCACGAGGCGGTGAAACGGGCGGCCCAGTCTGAGCACCTACACGGTCATGCCTTCCCCACGGACCAAGTGGCAGCACTCCTGGCCACCAACACCAGGATCCAGGCAAGCACGTGAGCCTTGACACCACCGTGCGCCACGCCCGTGTTCCTCCTAGACTGTCCCGACTCCAGGTGCTGCTGCTCCGGCGCATCCACACCATATGTGCGATCACTCCGGCAATCCTTTCATCCTGGCGGCACTCTAAAAAAAGGGGGCTGTAGGCGCTACACCCCTTGTCACATATACGACACCCCAAAACTTCAGTCGGATGTACAGCATACTGAAGTAATACCGACGCTACCAAATTTCACAAGCGGCTTGATAGCCGAGTTGTACAAGTCATTAAAATAATTAATGTAAGTGTGACTGACTGCAAAAAAAGTTATCGGGGTTTTCTAGGCTCAACTGCAAAACCTGTGCGTTTTTTTCCTGTATACTTTGATACGTACTTTAGCTGTTTAATATGTTATATCGCACCGTCATCAACCCTCCCGCAAAAGTTGGGGCCGTCTGTTCGACCTCAGCGCGCTGTACATCCAACTGAAGTTTTGGGGTGTCGTATATGTGACAAGGGGTGTAACGCCTACACCCCCTTTTTTTAGAGTGGGGGAAACTACAACCGCATCCCTCTGACCTGTCCCATTGCTCTGCTCCGACGGACCAGGTGGATGTCCGTCGTCCCACCTGGACCTAACCGGGGACACGGGTAGACCGGAAGCGTCACATCCTTCTGGCAGGGATACGGTGGGACGACCCGAAGGCCTACTGGACCTGGACGATCACCTACCCAAGCTCCCAGAGCCTCCTGAACTTCGTCCATACCGCCGGCCTCGTTGCCGTTATCTAATCCCTTTTCCCCCCCTAGGCCTGAGGACTGTCCTTTCCCTTTGGCAATATACACGTTCCGAGTGCAGTGTGGAATAGTATGCTTGCTAGCATGAGAACGCTCGTTTTGACAAAAACCTGGCGGTGACTTTAGTTTGTCAGTTGTATGCGGCGCTCCAATTGGTCCGAAGCGCTGCCGTGAGCACGCGTCAACTTCTCTCTCTCGCTTTCCCCGGCGCTGACAAACTCACAGACACCGCCATGTTATCGTTAAAATGAGGCCGTTTCTTTAGCAAAGTCACACGCATAGCTGGCAGCTGGCGCAGAGCCAGAGAAAGGGAGGCATCCGCTCAACACCTCCTAGATAACGCCGTATTGCTGAATGAGATGGCTTAATCAGAGAAGGCCAACGCTGGACCCTGATTGGAAATGAGTGCAGCGTCAGCGCTCGGCTCCGAGTCAAGTTTGAGCCGACTGTTGACGTAATCGTGTCCAATCTGTGCCCAGCGTTGTCCTTTTCTGATGACGCCATCTCATTCAGCAATACGGTTTTGTTATCTAGGAGGTGTTGTTGCGCGGTGGAATGCAGGTGTGCTCAGTTGCCGCTCTGCTGTTGCCACTTGTTCTTCGTTCCGGGTTTCCGTATTAGCGGTGCATGGGCTGCCATGTGTGTATGGGCCTCCTGCGCTGAAGCTTTGAACAAGCTGTGGCGCCCTCGTTTTGGGTTGTACAAGCTCACCTGGCTGGGACTCCCACTATTGTGGCGCCTTTGCTGTGATTTTTTTCTTTGTGTAGTGCAGAAGAACAAAAAAAAAACACCCTTGGGCGTCCGAAATCGGCTACATTCAACGCCTCAAGACAGTCGAAAGTTCCGGATTCATGCCACCACCGCTAGTGTACGCGTCTCGTATCTCTAAGTGGTGATGTTAGAACATCTGGCGTCCCGACGTTGTTCTTTTTTTCCCCTCCCCTCTATGTTTCTTCGGGACGCGTGATACGGCGTTTCTTGGTTCACGCTCTTATCGTCCTAGCTTTGGCCTGTGCTTCGACGGGGTTAGTCGGCATTTTTCTTTTTTTTTTTCTATTTTCCTCGTTATCGTGCTTCGCGCCAGAGCAGGCACGGCTCAAGTTTGTACTACCCAAAACAAGTCATTTTTCGCAGCGCCTCCTGGGCAACGCAGGATACCTATTCGCGACTCCAGCAAAACGGACGCCACCAAGCGGGAAAACCGGGAACCAGCCGGTCCAGGTCGCTCCGCGCCCCTCCGCGTCTCTTGTGGCCTTCGCGGACACGTGTTGTCGGCGCGATGGCGAACAGTGTAATTTCACGAAGGTCCGAAAATGTGTTAGGTTTGCCTGAGTGTTTATTAGTGTGGTGAAGCCTCAGTAGATTGTTTCCTTCCGCACGTGTTTGAAAGCCCGTTTACTCCACAACACAAGGTCGCGTGCTTTCGATTTCTTGGAGGGGGAGGAATCGCGGAAAAACGTTTTGATTTCTTGTCTGTC